TACGCCAATTGTTCAGAAAATAATAACATTATTTATAAGAAATGTGATACAAAAGACCAGAATTGCTTGTTCCAAAAATTTCTTTTTTTTCAGAATTTTTTTGAAATCTTAAATCTAGTTGCAAAATTCGAAAAAATTTTCAGTCTTATCGAACAAAGACGCCAAAATACACTACAATAAGTTTTTTTTCAAGAGTTTTCACCATTACTGGTTAAACTCGCTCCGCTGGTCGCATTGGACAAATTTGCCAGAGAGTCCCTTGGCGATAGAAATACAGATGAGTCGCCACCATTTGGATTTTTGGACAGGTTTACTCCTGCCAGAAATCGAAGCTTAGTATCGGCGCTCCGAACCACAATAAATTTATGAAAATTGTAACTAAATTAATGAAAAAATTACCAATAATTTCTGCATATTAATAATATTAGTAATAAATTACTAGAATTTGAGATAGGTTAGGGAAAAAAAATTATATATTAGATATTAATTGACGTAGATTATCAAAAATTCAGGCAAAATTTGTTCAGATTTCGAACCTTATTGAAATTGAAATAATAAACTAACAATTAATAAAACAGATTTATGATTAAATATTTTAAGTAATTTTGCTTAATAATATTGATTTTCAAAGCACATAGATAACAATCAAAAACTATACCATACCTTATCTTATTTGGAAACCGATCGAAGAATGACCTTGCCGTGTTTCCAAGAGATCATCTAGAAGGGGTTCAAAGCCATTAAAAATAAACTACAAAATTTGTTAAACTCGATCTGTACTAAACTACTAAATACTAAATACGAAATTAATACTATCAATATTAATCAATACTAAATTATTTTTCTAGAGTTCTGTTCAGAATTAATATTGCTTTGATTGTTGTTTGTTGATGCCAGCTTTTTATTTAGTTCACCACTTATAACGTCCAATAATGGTTCATTCATTTTGAAAGGTAATTGTTTTTGATTCACCTGTGAAAAAGCAAGCCTAGAAACTATGGATTTTAAATTTTTTTAAAAAGTTTACTATGATGATATAGTGAATCAAATAATTTCATAGGTTAAAAATCTGTTGCATTAAAAATTATGAGCTTGTTTAGAACTTGAGCTTATCAAGCAGAACAGCCGTATGACTCAGATTTTTTTTTAAGAGCACTTACCATTACTGGTTAGAGTCGCTCGGCTGGCTTATCACACTAGACAAATATGCCAGAGAATCCTTTAAAATACAATAAAAATACAAGTGAGACGCCAGCATCACCCAGATTTTTGGACAGGTTTACTCCTGTAAGGACTAGAATCCCACCACCGGTGCTCCTAATTGAACAACAATATATCGCACTTTGCTCCGAACGGTGTTAAACCTGGCACTAAGAAACTCCGCTAGTGACAGTGTCTACCTACTTCTATCACAGATTTTCTAGCAACAATTTCGAACTGTATAAACAGCCATCGGAAGTAGCATAACCAGAAATGGGCGAGCGCTAATCATTTAATTATGATTACCAATTAGATCCACTTAATTACAATTACCAGTTAGTTATGTTACAAGCGCAGTTTTATCATAAAAAGGATGCACAAAAAATACACCCAAGAATGAATAAATCAAAATGAAAAATGAAATGAAATGTGTGAATTAGCTCAGATTCAGCTAGAATCAGCATAATTCATTATTTGATAATATAAATTTTATTGAAAGTAATTAGAATTGCCTGAAAATTACTTTTATAGAGTTTTTAAGAAGCAAATTGTTAGGAATATTATTATTCTTATCTTATTTTAATGCATTCATCTATGTATTTTCATTATCTATGTATAAAGCTTTACAATGAAATTTGCTGTTCTCATCGAAGAGAATTGTAAAAATGTCGAAAATTCTATATTTTCTTCACCACTTACGCGAATATTGATAGTGCTAACACAGATAGACAAAGATTACGTTAAAAAAAATATCAAATTGTCGACATACATTTTTTTAAAGTCTGACGCTTATATGAGACAAACTAATAAATTACAATGGAAAACAAAGACAAACAATTTTAAGACAATTCCATAAATGCACTTGCATCCACACTCTCGTAAAAAATTTTTAAAAAATTCCTTCAATCGTGACAAAAGTTTGAATTTGTGCAGTAATCTCTTATCAGAAGCTGGTAGAAAAAAGAAGACTGGAAAATAATTGGTTCACGGTATTCTTTTCTATTTCACCAATCCTTATCACGTTTAACCAAGGCTGGTATAATGATTGATTGATGCCTCACTGTGCATTGATATTGCATTGATGCCTATTTTAAAGTTGACTTCATTGAAAAGACAAGAAAAATTGATCTCGTAATCAATCATCAAAAAGGGCAATCACTGTTGAATAAACTTAAAAAAAAATGTCAGTTACAACAGAATTTGAAAAGATTGTTCTGCTATAATATTTTTCCGGAGGAATGCGTGAGATATATGAGTTATAGTCCAGTGTTATATCGTTTGGACTAAGTCATAGGTGATCCCTATCTCTCAATGGAGCTAAAGCTGCCGATAAAAATAGATCATGAGAATCTCGCAATTCTATTTGCAAATAAATTTTCGACGAAATGGCCCCATTAAAAAAACTGTGAGTAACTAATAAATTCATGTAATTTTCGTGAAGAAACAATGAAAACTGAATAAATATTTTCATTGCTCCAAACTTTTGTAATTTTATAATTTTTGAGTTTTTTCACAGTTTTTTTTCATAAAAAAATCGATAGACTTCTTATTACTCAAATCTCGAACTATTTTTAGTTAAATATTTACGAATATTGAAGATTAACAATGGCGGATTTTTTCTGTGAAACAATAATTGCCTTCCAAAAGATTGTTTTTAACTGATATTTTTTGTGAGAACCAGGTGAAATATTTAATGGAAATGGAGTTACACGTAAGGTTATTCGAATAAAGCTAATAAAAAATTAAAATTTTACTTACTATATTATTATGAGAACAAAATAGTATTGTTTCAGTACTAACTCCATCCAGATGATGAATGAGTTCTAAAAAACATTGTGCACAAAATCTCAACTCCAGTGATCTCTTAGTATGGCATTGTCGATTTTCAGATTTTTGAAGTAAAACTAATTCCCCAGAATTTATACGGAATTTTTCACTCGAAGAATTGTGGTAATCTTATATTCAGTGCCACGAAATTCTACATCATAATACGGTCTCAGCCATGTTAGACCAATGTCAACTTTTTTGCCCACTTCTTGCGATACGTAATCCAAATATCATCTAATATTTTTTTTAAAGATTATTTAATTTAAGGCGAAGAATATAGGTCGAAAAAATTTCGAAAAAAGTTTTCAGCTAAAGTTGATCATTCAAATAAACGGATGAGCAGATTTCTAAAGTCATTTTCATCATTATTAATTTTGCACCTAAAAACTAATTTAAAATGGAGGAACCGACCGTACCATTCTTTCCAAATCGATTATTATTTTTGTTTCAATATTTTTATTTTATTTATAATAATTGGTTTTAGTTATTTAACTCAAAAATTATCAAGCTATTTAAATATTGAAATTTAAATATATTGATATAAATATGTAAATATATTTAATATTGGATTTTCTTGATTCTTTCTAATTTTATAGTTCTACCTTAAATCAAATGAACTATCAAATCACCTTCTTGTTTCAATTCACTGGAATAACTGAATCTTTTTCTATATAACTGAACTGAATAACTGAATGAACTGAATAACTGAATTTTTTAAAGATTGATGTTGTACCCAGTTTGTATTTTATCTACTCAACAAAGAAATTAATGACAAGTCAGAAACAAGATTCGGGCCTTTGATGCTCAAGGTGATAATCAGATCCATCTGACAACCACTTTGCTACGTTATGATGCGCATATGAAAAGTTCTATCCTAATTTGCTACTAGTAAAATGCCTTATAAGTCCATTTTCGACTGAAAATTTTTATCCACTGATGTCTTTCGCAAACATAAGTGAAGCGGTGACTTGCCTGGTTCACTTCAAACGATATAATCAGAAATAAATCTAACTAATATTCGAGAAATCTGTTCATGAATTAAGATAAAACTTCAAATTAAGTGTGATTAAATAATTTTTTTTTCATGAAAATTTTTTTCATAAATTTTTATGAATTTTTTTTATCAACCAGTTTTTTTAAACAAATTTATTTCTCTTTGAATGCATTTTATTCCGGAAAGTATTACTATCAACACCTTAAGATATATTCACATATAAAGAGCATTAAAATTTGATTCCAAATTAAGCCTTTCTTGAATACAATTAAGAAATGTACATAAATCATTTGAAGCATAAGGCTTATTCCATTGACTAGTTAGTTGATCAGCACCAGTCATCATCATCATCACCAATTTTAGATAAATCTTCTTCGAGTAGATCTTCAGTCTGCGTCATAAACTTATGAGTTTTGAAAAAAAGAAGCTCTTTAATATTTAATTTGATATTTAACGAAATTCAAACAAAATTCTCCATCAAACACCATGTTTTCTTTACACGAATACAGTTTTTTTCTTTGATTAGGATTGCTCCACTGGCTTATCGAATTAAAGAAATTTCGCCAAGGAGTTGGCGACAGAAATGTAGATAAATCGCTAATATTTCCTGGATTTTTAAATGACAGATTTGCTCCTGCTAGGTGTAGAACCTCAGTATCGCTGTTCCAAACTGAGCAACAACCTGTTAAACCACTCAAACTCCTTTTGCTTTCATCATTCGACATTGCCGTCAGAAAAAGCATATTGTTTCAACCATATTCAAATTCAGTTATTCTTCTCGTTGCCGATCGTCATGGCACTAAGCCTTTGACCGATTATAATTTTTAACCGAAATAGAATTCTTTTTATACTCAAGCAGCGTATTTAATAATTGTTAATTGTAATATAATAATTAATGTGAATGTAATGTAAATTAATGTAATAATATAATAAATCATATATACCTAATATCTATCTGCAAAAGCTACTATAAGTTTTGATGGTAAATGGAGAATCTTGTACGATTAAGCCTTACACAAAATCGAAAAAACAAGCGATTGCTTCGGTTCCACCAATATTTCTATCTCACGGTGATTCTATAATGAAAGGTTATTTTCTAAACTTTTCTGGCGCTCTAATCCGGTGGCACTTTCGATAAGCATGAAAATTTGTAAGCTCTCAAACCGATGTAAAGATCTATTCAAATTCTGTTAACTCATAATCTATTAATAGAGGATAAACATTTGTTGGTCGATTGTGTGCACACTAGCGAGATTTTGGCCGTAATTGACCATTATCGTACGTGGCTCAAAGCAGAGCAAAGGTACTGGGTGTATCAAATGCGCTTCGAATAATTCGGTAAGAAATAGTGCAATCGCCATATCTGAAAGGGCGCGATCAGCTCCCTTGAGGGCACGACTAGATAGCCTACGTCAACTTCTGAGATAAAGGTTTGTGATATAGCAGTCACCAAGTGTATATGCTCTCTACAGGGAGTCGCTCAAAACTCCGAAAGTCAAAATCTCGGATTTTAAAAACCTCGAGAATTCAAAGTTCAGAATAAGAAAAAATGTAAAAAATATATGTTCTGTCCTACTATTATGGCAAAAATAATTTTAGAAATGTTCTGGTTGCTTTTATGGCAAAAAAATCTTCAAAATGCCTGAAAATTTTTGAAGTTTTTATGGTTTTTCTCTTCTCGAGATTTGAAATACATGTAAATCCTTTAAAAATGAAAAAAAACTCCCTTCAATTTCGCTTCATTTCATATCGCAACATATTATATAACTTATCAATTACAACTGATTAATCAATTAATCAATCAATTTAAATTTCCTTTTCATTATTTATTGTATTTTACCAGAAATAACCTTCTCAGAAATGACCTTTTATGATAAGAAAGATTATTAGCCAAAAATTTCCTCCAAGTTCGCTTCATCATTTATTTGGCAAATTAATTATTGCTGCGCGTTTCGTCTGTACTTTATCCGTATTTTATTCTTTTCCACTTTTTTTCGCAAGTCTACTATTGTTGAATTATTTAAAATTATTGTGTCCCATAAAAGATATGCTAAATTAAGCTCGAAATTATATGTAGGTTAAGGACAAGAATTTAGACAATAATTTATTGATGCTGTGAACTAAAGAAATTTAGTGAGTGTAAAGACCATGCGATAACAAATTTCGCAAACGGATACCAAGTCTTAAATTCATGGAGCCATCCTTCCCATGCGAGCCTGATAGTATTGAAGATAACTGAAGAAACAAAAGAGGCTGCAAAAGAAGTATGGGAGAAAGTAATATTTGACAGGTGATGGTAAAGGACCAAATGATGATGCTAATTCTTTGTATAAAGTTATAGCAGTTGAGATAACAGTTATTGACAATACTGTTATTGACAAATATGCTAAGCAGTTGATTTCCATTTCTGCTGTGATCTAACTAGAATAGCCTACAATATTCAGTCCAATAGGGTTAACAGCATAAGAAATTATCTGTCTTTGTATTTATTTATTGTTAGAAGCTTAAAATAAAAATTGTATGATTTTATAGTTCTAATTAAGTGACAAAACAAATAGCAATTTTTGTATAAATGAAACAGGTGATTCTACTAATAATCGCAAACTAAACTCCGATGGTTTTGAACATGCGTAAAGGAGCATTCTGCATGCATGTGGAGAGGGGCTCATCCCGCTTATTTCCAGTTTTTCAGTAATGTGCAGTAAATATGCAGTCAATAATGATTATATTCATCTTTCGAATCTCTGACAACTAAAATTTACCTCAGTAATAGAAATATTTTTCTTTTAAATCTGTATCATCCACTAGGCAATGGAAATAACCATTTCATCATAGATCTTTTCAACTTATTATTTGAATGAATCAAAGTTATCTGGTTGTGATTATGTAATTGTTGGGTGATCTTAATATAGATTTGGAAAATAAGTGCATGAAAAACAACGATTTAATTTCTAAGCTTTTGTATTTATACAGGTCTAGAACAATTGATCGCTATTGAGCATAACACCTTATTAGACATTACACTTGCTATCTTTTCTGCTTTTTTCATCGCTAACTTAAATGTCTTAGAATCTTGTAACAGCGATCACAGTATCGTTCATGAATCAGTGAACCTAAAACCTCATCTACACCTATCCTAAATATGCTAGAAAATACCGCCTTTGGTAAATGCCAAATTATTAATTCATTTCTTGCAGAAATAAGCTGGGGTTTCATATTTTGTCTAAATGGCTCTATTGACTTCTTTCAGCCTTCTTAATAACATCGTACTATATCTCACAAAGCAGTATATTCCATTAAGAAAAAAATTTTTTAAATGAAAATCAAAGTTTTTGCGCTCTTTCTTTGAGATTAAAATAACGCCATTAGATGTTTATGACGCCTTGAATACACTTAAACCATCGTAATATAATAATCCAGATCGTCCAAAATATTTTAATAACAATGCACAGTTTCCCTAAGCCTTCCTTTATTTTTAATTTGTGATGATATGAAATCTATCGATTGTTAACTTTTCATTTCATTTAGAGTCGCTACTTTATACAATCTATTTGTAGAGCTTTTCAGCATTTTTTAGTTTATTTTTTAAAATTTGTTTTTTCAATTCATTTTTATTATTTTCTGTTTTATTTTTTCCCTTTTAATTTTATCTTCTTTAACAGAAACCTATCATAAACCTATCATGGCTTCCTGCTGAAGACCCACCTGTAAGTCCATCTTGAATTGATTTTAGAAGGATCTGGTCCTGGTGCGCATGATATCTCCAGAACGTTAACATGCGATAAATATACAATCGGGACATTAAAAAATGATCTCAAGACTAGAGAAAAAGATATGGTCTCTAGCCAGAATGATTGCTCGGAATCTGTCAAGGGAAAACTGTCCTTTGGCTTTCCGCGACGACATATTGGTCGTAGCATAATGGAACATCAGAATGCTCATGAACATTGTGGATCACCCGCACCATGTCCAAAAGTTTTGTAGATATAGCCTAAAAGATTCGAGGACAGTGAAAATATTTAGAACCGAATTATTGAAGTATCTCAGCGGTATAAATATCAACGATATCTTTTGAACTGCAGATGATCCTAATTAAAGATAATATTCACGCTTGGACATGTAGTAGTTGAAAATCGGAAGCAATTGACCAACTGTTCGGAACGGCTGCCAAAGCATCAATGTAATGAATATCAACGATATCTTTTGAACTGCAAATGAATACTGATCCTAATTAAAGATAATATTCACGCTTGGACATGTAGTAGTTGAAAATCGGAAGCAATTGACCAACTGTTCGGAACGGCTGCCAAAGCATCAATGTAATGAAATCCTAGCTATCGAATCCTAACTTTCGAAGAAACACTACGGAATAGCGCAGAAGTTATTGGAGTAATATGACCTTGTAAATGAAGACAGAGGATAGATTAAACGATAAAAGGAAACTAGAAACTAAAATAAAGTAGAAAAAGAAAATTCATAATGCAACTATAATTTGATGGAATGCTGCGGAATAATAATGGTGTGCCCGTTAATGGTGTCTATTAAATATCACCTCATAAGATGGAAGGAATTCTTTGAGGCTAAATTGAGAAATTGTTTTACCAGGATGCGTTATCTGTTGTCCCGGACATAGCTAAATCGCTTGTCAAGTCATATGTTTGTATAATAATCTTATCAGGAAATAATCTTTGTCATCCAAAAGCTTAGGGTCTCCTGGAAAAGATGGTCTTCGAGCCGAGATCTTCAAATGTTTTCAATCAAACACATTTATAATACATCTTTAACAACTATATTTGTTCTCTGGTATGAAAGATAGAAATAATACCAGATGACTAGAGCAAAGCGATTCTGTTCCCAATTCCCAAAAATGGCAGGGCAAGCTGTGACAGTTATCGACGAATCAGCCTATTAGATTTCTCTAGGAAAATCTTCATTATTCTTCTGCTGAATAGACTTATGGCAATACGAAGCAGAATTTTAATCTCAATCTCAATCAAGCTCGATTCAGTGAGGGGTGTGAGCTGACCAGATACTGACATTAAGAAGGGTGTTGGAACATTAGTTCAATTACAGGGCAAGCAACCAACGTCATTTGCTTCATCGATTTTGCAGCTACATTCGATTAAATTGATAGAACGGCGCTTTGGAAGGTGTGACGGTGTTCTAGAGAAGATCATTCAACTCATTAAGGCATTTTACCAATGTATATCGACACACGTGTATTATATTGGAACTGATAGGTTCTTCGAAATAAGAACTGTTGTTCGCCTAGGCTAGCTTCTTTCCCCTCCAATATTCTACTCTGCGACAGGCTGGATAATGGACATCGCTTATCGAGTATTCAAGAGATTTATTCAAGAGATATACAAAATCAATCCAGAGCATATATCATAAATCTTGAATATACCGCTAATGTAGTTCCTGAAAGTTATGACGAAATGCAAATAATGCTAAACAATGTGTAGACAGCTGCAGCGAAAGTCGGACTTATGATCAATGGAATCAGTTGAGGAAATATCAGATTTTAAAAATCTTGGATCCACTATAATCCTAAATGGCCGGGCGAAAGACGATATTACAACCCTGATAACGGTAGCTAAAAATGTGTTTTTCTTTTTTTGATAAAACCTTTAGGAATCCGTGAAATTACCATGAAAACGAAAGACTTCGTCTATATAGCTGCAATTCGCTCGATCTTGCTATACGGCTGCGAGACATGGGCAATGAGAGTGAAGGATATGAAGAAATTATCTACCTATGAATATTGAACCTTTGTCTAAGATATATTTACGAGCGAAAGTGGATAAAATTTCACATAATTGCATTCACTTTCGCTCATATACCACCCAGATTATCTCATAAAGCGTCTCCTTCGCTGGTTAGTGCACTTTCTTCATCACCCACAGCAGGAGTTGGCACATATTTTCTTATTTGCTAAACCTTGTGGGTGGATAGCATCAAAGGCGAGAGGGGCCAGGCAAGATCTGATTGATACAATCAGGGAAATTTTGAATAGGCTTTTAATAAACTGGAGAACAGGAGAATAATTATAATATACTGCAAAATGCTAATGCTGATCAGTAGATTAAGAGTATGTTCTGATTATAAATTTTATAAATGTGGTGTATAGCATATATCATGCTTTATAACACCAAATTATGTTTTTTTTTACTTCCCTTCCAAGTTTTTCAAAATGCGTAAAAAGTATAAGCATATCCTGAGATAATCTATTTTTTTATTAGTTTGGTACTGTTATATAAATTTCGGAATTATCATGAACTTTAACCATTTTTCATTGGTGTTGTAACTAATCTCAAATAAATTTCATCCTAAAATTCTCAAAAAAAGTCGTCCTAAATTGTATAAGTTGCGTTATAAATGAATGGGTGGATGACCTTGATTAATACTAACCCTTTTTCAACCTAAATTTACAAACCCATTGTAAAATGAATTGGTATCGAACATTTATGAGGCTTGTACATCTCTCTTGGACTGCAATATTTTTGTTAATTGGTGACTTTTTTTTTCTTAACGGTATTTACAGAATAATTCTTGATATTTGATGAATATACATTATTATGATATTTAATGCGTTTTCAAAATTCAGACTTATTCGTGGATTTAAATGTTCCTTTCTAGGACAAAATCTGCTAATCGTTCGTGCTATACGAATATAATGGAAAAATTTTAAATCACGAATAAAGGCAAATTTGCTTTTATGCTATTCCCTGAAATTTGAAAGATGCCTGATCTGAAAATATTTTAGATCAATCAAATACTGAACAATTAAAGTTCAGCGAATGCTTGTGGATCTGCGCGAAGCCGTTAAATAGTTTCGAGCGAACGTATCACTACCTTTTCACTAACTTTGACAAAGTGAGCCAATGCTCAGTTAGAATTTTTTTCAATATTTGACATATTTTTTTTAAAATCTCGTTTCATTTATTTCGAGACGATAATTTCACGTTATATCCACTTATTGTAAAAGGAAAAGAGCATATGAGATGAATTTGTGCTAGAAACAATTATATCCAAGGCAATTTTAAACTTTACTTACGCATAGTGTAGCATATTTATTTGACTGTTTGACTCGACTGTCCTGTTTGTTTGTAACGGATTATTAATCGACTGCAATATTTAGCTTATTCATTTATCAACTCGGAACGACACTTCATCGATGGAGACACCCATGAAAAGGCACTTTTAGATCTAATTTTTCTCTGAATTTAAAGTATAAAAAAAGTAATGTAAATAATTATTAATTTTTATATGGAGTAAATGTTAAATATTTATAAAATGGCCCATTTTCTAACTGAGAAGGAAAACTGAGAGGGAAGGAAAATTCGCATAAGCCGTAATTCGATGAAATGATAAATAAATATTCAAGAGATATGATAACCACATATGCGAAATTTGATTGCAGATTTATCCTATCATTTTATAAATATATTTGTATCCTTTGCACGGTTAACTAAAAAACATTGAGGTCTGTGAAAAACTTGAAAAATCAGCACACTGCTCTCGAAAATGCCAAATGAAAGATCAAGGAATTTTCTATCAATATTCAACATTTTATCGCCTTCATTGTATTGAATTTGAGGAAGGTTTGAATCTTATAAAAATTAAAAAAAGGTTTGAAGATTTAAAAAGTATCTTTTCAATTTTTTGCTCAGAATTCAATGATGCGAGTAAATTACAGAACTTGAGAAACATAGTGGATGCTTAAAGTATGCTAGCAAAGAAGCCGACAAAAGTAAGTTTGCTTTTAAATTCAGACAAATGGAAAAAATGCGTCAGATGGTTTTATTTGCCTGAAGCTATGCGGGAAATATATTGTTTCTATTGTTTCAGTTTCTTTAAGTAATCAAGTTTTATTAAAAAGTCTTCTAAGTGCTATCGATTGCGCGCTAAGTTTGATTTTAGCTTTTGAATAAAGTGCCATTCAAAACCATATAAATGCAAAGATTAAAATTAATGGCAATAGCCAAAAAAATACACTAATAGGTGGACATATTGTATGAACTAAATAATGAACTATGGATAATTTTCAAACCGGTTTATCAATAATCACAGTTTTCAAAGAATTTGTATTTCAAAGGACTCCTTCATTTATAGAATAACTGTACAGTCGGATGAACAAATTTCATTTAATAGTGAAAATAATGATACATTTGTTTTTTACATCAAAGATATAATTAAGAATGTTCATCGAAGTGCTTCATTGATCTGAGCCAAATTTATGAAGAAGAAAAACAGAGAAGTGAACGTTGCAGGTTGATAATTAAATTTCCATCTATTTTGCAATTTTTTTCAACAGTCGGCACCACTTTTATTTGGATTTAATTCATTGCAGATTAGGTTGATTCCTTCTTCCTTTCGCCAGATAGCCATTTCAAGATTAAACTACGAGTGATTAAACTATGAAATGATAAATATTTAAGAGCTAGAATAACCACATATGCGAATGGTTTCGCAACAACAGCTTGTCACTTTGCAATTTCATAAATTTATTGGAATTTTGAGTTCGAAAAAAGTACATACAAATTTTATACAAATTGTACTAAGGGGAGAATGCCTTAAAACTAATTTGCGCAATTGTTAAATGGCTTGATTTTTTAACCAATTTTGCTTAATTTAATAGCTGATCTAATCACGACTGAGAATTTTTCCGTAGCATAGTTACAATTTCATTAAGGACAGATTCCAGTCACAAAGCAAATTTCAGGATGATGGAGTGTTCAACTCTTTGTTACTATCATCATTTTTCAAAAATATGTCCACGAGCTGGTGATTTATTAATGGTGAAGTATAAACTTATTTAACCAGCCTTAATTTTTCATTCCTCAAAGAAATTATATATATATATATATATATATATATATCAGGATGATGAATGAGAATAAAGGTTAAAAACTGAAAAAAAAATTTGAGATGACCTTTCCGTTTGCTGCTTGAATCATTATCTATTATGTTATTCGCTTCGCTGTTCAAAATTTGAGAGAAAATTTTCCATACCCAAGTATTTCCATGTATAATATAGAATCCTTATCTTTAAGGCGATTAGCATATTAATTAAATAATACATTTCTCATGATTTTTTATATATTTATCGCATATTTTAGTGCAACCAATCATTAATAATATCAGCTTTCTTAACTCAAAACATAGCTTAACCAATATTATTGCCAATTATTATGCATGGTTATCAGATTTGATAAGGCAGTTTACCAAAGTACATTAGCGCTCACATTTTCATCACTCACACTGCTTCGAAATAAGTCTCCATGACTATTTTATTCTACTGCAATATATTTTTGTCATTTTCTCCAACTTTCGTCCCCTCTTCCCATTGTTCTTCCTTTTTTTAAAATTTTTTTTTTCAGCGAATCTCTATGAGGCTAATTGATGATTCTTTGTTGACGATAACCAAGGAAGCTCTTGCAAAGATGAGTGAATCGTGTCAACGATTCAATGATAAGAAGTATATGAGAAATAAACTTTTGGCAGCCGTTGTTTGAAAATCAGTAATTCAGTTATCTTAGTCTTTTGATTTATTTATATTCTGACTTTCTTTACCCATTTTCCGTGCTCGTGTCCAATTATGGCTCAATAAAACAACTTCTTTGAAGTTGAATTTGTCTTACGGATTTATCTCAAGCATGAATATTTTCAGTATTTTGTGCAACGACTTTCTCGTAAAAATACCAAATCTTGAGTAATCATAGAAAATTTTTGGCACAATTCATCTTGCGATAATAAAATTTGGACATTGTTTATGAACAAACCCTAAAAACCGTTCTTAAGGTCCATAAACGTTTTGAATTCGGTTCAGCGAACGTAGTAAATACGAATTATCTTTTCTAATTTCTCTAACGAATTCTTCTCAGGCAAAGGACAAACAATCATAAGAATATCAAAAAAATCAATCTAGTGAAAAAATGTGTCATAAAAAGATTCAAAGTAGATAAGCTGATTTGAATTTTTTTTTCTCTCAGTTTTTCAAAATTTAGAAAATGCTATTTTGAAATTTTTTAAAATGGCGAACAATAAGTTGCTGTTACTCTATAGCAGTGGCCACTGATTGACTTTAAATTTATCCCCAGTCTATGATTTTCTTTGCATCTTTCAATGATAATAACTTTGTCATTTCGGAATATTTTAAAGTAATTAGAAATTCTTCAGATTTGTGGAACTGTGGGTTAAGCCAAAAGAAATAGTGTATTACAACAAATAGAATGATAATTCTTTATTCTTGCTTTGCTCTTTTAAACATAGAGTGGTAAAGCTTATCGGAAAATTTACTGAGAGAATCGACTGACGAAAACTGCTGAGCGTGGTGGGCATGGGCAATAAGCGGCATCGTTTCCTGGAAGACCAACGCTACCAGGTGGTCCATCCTTACCACTGGCACCTGCAGGTCCTTGTTGGCCGGCTGGACCAGGAGGACCAGCTGGTCCTGGGATTCCATCCTGTCCTCTTTCTCCATTTGGCCCTGGGGCTCCCGGTGCTCCAGCTGGTCCCGTAGGTCCTTTCGGTCCTGGTTTTCCTTGTCCTCTTTGTCCATCTCTGCCGGGTGGTCCGGGAGGCCCAGTGGGCCCAGCGGGTCCTGGCGGCCCAGCGTCTCCAGCAGGTCCAGCTGGCCCTGATGGTCCATCTTTTCCTGGGGCTCTCGGCCAGGTGGTCCGGGAGGTCCAGCGGGACATTTAATGCATGCTGTATCGTATGGAGGACATGTAATTGGTGCGTATGTAACAGTATTGTCCTCTCCTGGAGGTCCAGGTGGTCCAGGTGCTGAAAATTTAACACATAGTGAAAAAATGTGTCATAAAAAGATTCAAAGTAGATAAGCTGATTTGAATTTTTTTTTCTCTCAGTTTTTCAAAATATAGAAAATGCTATTTTGAAATTTTTTAAAATGGCGAACAATAAATTGCTGTTACTCTATAGCAGTGGCCACTGACTGACTTTAAATTTATCCTCAGTCTATGATTTTCTTTGCATCTGAACGTTCCAAGCATTTGAACGTTTTTTATAACTTGAAGTTTGTAACTCATTAGATTTAATTCATTAGGTTCAAACGACTTACGTCCATCTGTTCCAGGTTCACCAGGTGGCCCTGGTGGTCCAGGTGGGCATGCCGGTTTCGTCGGTTCACATTGACAGTATGATGGAAGTCCCGAAAAGTCTTGGCGTTTCTGACGGAAGATGCTATTGAATGGGTTCTCACGTGGTTTGCTTGGTGGTGAAACGCTTATTTGGATGTCCATCATTTCAGTCCATGCTGAATCTGTTTCAACACGGAAAACCTGAAACGATGAATATGAACGAAATAAGTCCAATGCGATTTAGAATTCAATCAAAATATCTATAAAAATATTTTTATAAAATTATTCTTTTAAAACAAGTAACGAATGGTAACACTAACCTGGACTCCATCAACAACTTCGTCATGAATATCGTTTATGGTGTTGTACAACGATGGAATGGTCACTAAGCACGCAAGAATGGCAAATGTGCTGCAGGCAGCTGCAATACCAATCACAATCTTTTCCTCAATCATTATTAGAAAATGTGCTGTTCGATGAAGTTAATACGATTTAAATAGGGCACGAATAGCACGACCTTCAGACAACGTCAATTCGTTGTTTCCTTTGTTTCAACCAGTTTTACTTAACGGTTTCTCCGCCTTGTCCGTTATACATAATTGCTTTAGGAGTCGATCAAAACAGCACGAAAATAAAATTTAAAAAAAAACCGGATATATATCGCTGTCCTGGAATCCGGCATTGCCTTTTGCATTTTCTTTTGCGAAATGAAAGGAATTTTTGAGAATTTGTCCACGAATCTCGGCCGATGCAATTTCAGCATTCGAATTAAATTTTCATAAAAAAATAATTTCAGCAAATGCATAAACTGTTCAAATGTAGAAAATGATGAATAATCTTCACAGAACAAAAATCTAGAAAAGAGCCTTAATGTGATGAAAAGGAAAAGGGAAATTTGGAAATATTTGATAAAGATCTGACTGATCTAAAACTTTTCGAAATTTTCACATATAGCTGGAAAATACAGAAAATAACAATAATTCAACGAGGGATTACTTGAGAAACAAACTTTTAACAACAACAATCACGATACTAATGTAATTTTTGTGAATTATGATAAACTGCGACTTAATCGAGCCGACTTTAATTGTCACTCCGAATTCGTCTTGAATTTGCGATTAAAATCACCCATTCGTATCTGCAAAACATCCGAAATAATCCGAGATAATAAAAAAAACACGAATTAGACCACCCCAAATCCTTCAAAAATTTCATTTTTCTAAATTGAACAAATTTTGAGAATTATAAGAGAAATAAAATTTGCAGAAAAAAAATATTGGTGGATTTCCGATCATTGAGCTCATTCATAGAAAAAAAATCGTATAACCTTTCGAACAACTGCATTTTTTAACATATAGAATATCTTCTGTTATGAATTTCTTCTTCTAACAGCTCTCACCATTACTGATTAGGCTGGCTACAAGGGTAAAACATTTCCAAGCTGCGCGACCGCCATCGTCGACAATAATAGAAGCCGTTTATTTTTTCATCGTCTAAGTCCATATATTGCTGGTCCACTTATACGTTCAAAATCTTTCCTGATCGCCTCAGTCCAGGTTTTTTGCACTTTGCACTTTTTATGAAAGGTAAATCATGTTGATTTATAAGTTACCTATATTCTAAGAGGATTTATCGTCTCAAGCAACAAGATTCAGACTCTGCAATCTCTTCGGGAGCAAAAGCGACAGTGAAAAATGCAGGAAATGGTGCTAATACGCGGAGAGAGTCAAACCAGAAATTATAATTACTGCCTATATTCTCGCTGGCTGAAGGGAATTTCAATCCCTATGCTTTAAATTATTTTAAAATTAAATATATAAATCTGCGTGGTGTTAAATATTTCCACATTTTCAGTAGAAACTTTTTGAAATGAAATATATGGAAAAATTTCAAATCAAACAATTTTTATTCAGAAGAAAAATTTTAAAGTACCTTCCGACCACATGAAAAACTCGTTTATTTAAAATTCACTTCGATGTTTATTTTAAAGCAAAATTTTTGAAATTTCAATTCCCAACTTAAAATATTTCTATGATGGGAATCCGGAATTTTTATTCTCTCGTTCCGAGCAAGCAGCATATCATATTTTGTTAAATTATTGAATTAAACAATTTTATGGCAGAAATACTTTAAAAAGTATGCGGTCTATACAGCAATGGTGGGCGCAACTTTTCGTATTGAATGCCAAGTTTCCGATAAAATTTTTGTAAAAAATTTATTTATTTATTACAAGTAGATTATAACGAGTTGCAAAACTGAATTCATATTCGTATTGCTAAATTCACGACTATTAATACATTGTGTTAAGATGATCTAAAATAATTCAAGAAGACAAGTCGATGGATTGTTTCATTGGCAAAAATTACCCTTTTACCCACCATTGCTATTGAGAAACACATGATTGATTCCATGAAGTAATCGCACTCGACCGAAATGACCTAACATGGAAGGATAAAAAACTTTAGGATAAAAAATCTTAAAAAATCCCAACAGGACTACAAAATTCACAAAAAGCCGATTGAGAACTAAATAATTTTTTGGATTGGTTCAACCGCTTTGCCGATATTCATTATCGCCATTGAACAAAGCACGAGACACTCGCAAAATTTTCCGCTATTTTTTGGATCATAAAAAATAAAAAAAAATTTTTTAACATTTTAAAATGAACAACAATAAATTTACACTCGTGAGTTAAGAGCCTACTTCAACTAGCAAATTACCTAAAATATACATAGTTTTTATCAATGTTTAAGAGAGCAAAATGATTTTTTTGCTGAAAATAGTGTAAAAATAAATAAAATAAATCTAAATATTACTGAAGATCTAGGAACAAAGCAATTCCATAGAAAATGCAGAAAAAAAATGAAGTACGAATAAAATAAATAAAATAAAAACTCATTCAACGCATGTTTAAGGAAAACAATCTTTTTTTATTAATAAAAACACAGTAAGTTAACATTAATTTTAAATGAGTTTCTTATTTTATTACAAATAAAATCAAAGATTTATATAAAAATATTAAATTAGCAAAAAAAACAACATGAAATCCCTTGTTTTAAATTTCTTATCTTGAAACATTTTTCAACTAATATAATAATACTAATATTCAAACAAAAATGATATAAATAGACGTTTTATACAACGAGTCTAAAAAAGCAAACCATAAAAGTTTCATATGGGAGAAACATTTTAAACATTTCAAAATTTAAAGGGAAATTACCACCTGTAAAAATTATTATTAATATTAATATCATTAGTAATATTATGTAGTAATATAATATATTATAATCGTATAATAAAATGAATACAATGAAAAAAAAATGATAAAAATGCCATAGCATCAACAAAGAAAATAAAATATAATTGCTGTCTAACTGGTCGAAGGTTAATATCATCACCTCAAATTCATTCTTTTCTACGTTGTCGTTGAGGATCTGTAAGTGGCACATACAATACACCTAATAAATCCTTCTTAACCGTTTCGCCATTCTCATTTTTATCCACTTGCAAAAAACGCTGAGCACTGTGTTCTAGTCCTACAGGAATTAACATACGCCCACGAGGCGCTAATTGATCCAATAGCTGAAAAAAAAATGATTATCTTAAACAGCAGAAAAATAATACGAGAACAATAAAAAAAAGAAAATTTTAAAAGAAACTTCTTGTGGAATCTCAGAAGCTGCCGCTCCAACGTGAATGGCCGTATATGGCGCTCCTGGCGCATAACCTTTTCTTCCATCACCAGTCACCAAAACAATTCGACCACTTGAAAGCAAATCTCCATGATGTTTCTCAATGTTTTGTCGTGATATATTTACTAGTTCTTCAATGTGATCTATGCCGACTATTTTCCCTTCTGGACCGACCTAAACAACTTGAAATATAAGGAGAAAAAGAATCAAAGCTTAGAAATCTTTAAACCAACAGATTATCGGAACTGGGCAAGCAAGATATAATGGATAAATATTTTCTATAACATTAAATGCTAACCATCACCGCCATGCAAGCAGTTAGATAACCAGAGCCAGATCCGACATCTAAAGCCTTATCACCATGTTTTAAATGATCTTTGAGGAGTTGTAAAGCAGTTGCATGCTGAATATATAATTAAAAAATTACTAAAGTTATAAAACACAAAAAGTGGGGAAGAATGACTCAGTGGGTTCTTGCTTGATTGGGAGCGCCGATGCTGAGCTTCGATTCCTCGCAAGAATAAACCTGTACAGAAATCCCGGTGAGCTGAAGACTCACCTGTATTTCTACCGCCATGGGACTCCCTGGCATATTGCACAATGTGACAAGCCAGTTTAACCAGTAATGGTGAGGACTCTTTAAAAAAACACAAAAATTATTAAAATAAATGTTCAATTTTATCGGAAGATAAGCAAAAAATTGTCAAATGGCAAATAAAGCGATAGAAAAATGAAAAATTACCATGTGAGGCGCACTTATTGTGGCTCCATAACCAATCGAAACTGGACTATCAGCATAAGGTTCCTGTGGAGCAAAATCACCACGATCAATACTTAACATAGCTTCTTCGACGGTTTCATCACTAAATAACCCATTATCTGAAAATAACAACTTGAAAAAACTCGGTTCTTTATCTCATAAGATTTCTCGCCATTACTCTGGTTGAACTCGCTCCACTGGCTTGTCACATTGAACAAACATACCAAGGAGTCCCTCGGCGATAAGAGTACAGGTGAGCCACAAGCATCATCGGGATTTTTGGACAGTTCTACTTATGCGGGGAACAGAAACTCAGCACTGGCGCCCCAAATTGATCTCACGACATTTATTAGCCAACAAACAATATTAGACATAAATGTAGAGGTTTAAAAGGCTATATATTTAAGATAGCATAAATTGCTGGAAAGGAAACATAAATTCTTAGAATGTAATGAAATGTTATGGTGCGAAATAAGCAAATTAATGGCAAATTACTGATGAATCAAATATGATTAATCAGAATAATAACAATTTTTTTATTTTGGCAATTAAATTAATTCTCTTACTGCAATTTTAATCTTAAATCTCATGATTAACTACATAAAAAACGTAACTAAAAAGAAAAAACTGACTTTTAAGATTTTCTACTAGCTTTTTATTGGAATCCGCACCAGATAACCATGCCATAGTTGCAATTTTCTTCAGTTTTTTGTCATTCGACCGTTTATAAATAGCCGTTTTTCGATTATCCATCCATCGATCTATAGAACGACAAACTTCCTCGTTACATTCACTCATTAAAAGAGACAGTTCAACAATTAATACAAGCATTTTCAGTATAGATTTGCACATCATTGCCCACGTTAATATTACGTGCCAAATACGTGCAACACTCCACACTATAACAATCCTATGTAAATGTCGCAAGAAAGGAAAGTAAACATAAAATTTTGCGAATTTTGCCCAATTTTTAAAAGGATAGGAATTCAACTCCATTTTAATTCTTAATTCTTTAATTTTTAGAAATAAGTCTCCACTAATATTCAGAAAAATAAACTTTTTAACTCGATATTAAGAAGATTTAAAAGGGTAAAGAATCTGTACAAAAGTGCTAAATTATACAAATTTAGAACCAAATATAGTACAAAAAATTATTAAAACATTTAAACCGAAAACGATAAACTGTATGAAAGGGGATCAAAAGGGATAAAAAACTGTTGCCTACAGTGCACTTTTTTCTCTTCTAACCGGTATATGCGGTCACAAAATAACCACTGTTTTCTTCCTCTTCCTACTTTCCACTTCCTTTCCATTTTTGCCTTTGCGAAAAACATGCAATAATGTACGATAAGTGATATAAGTAATTAGTGTCGAAAAACGTAAAATTGAAAAAAAAAATTATAGCGAATAATTCGACACTTATTTTGTTATGATAGCAAATATTAAAGATTTTTTATTTTAATAAAATTTTTAAAAATATGAAATTGGCATAATGACTGGGAACTCACTTTTATCGCTAAGTGATTCAAAGTGACTCTATGGCAAATGGCTCAACAAAGCTATAAGGGTATCCATGTATACTGACCCATGACAATAAAAACAGCCATAATGGTTCTCCAGATGAAGGAACTGCTCTACCCTAGCTCAGAAAATTCTATATGCCGCCAAATCATGGCCATAGCTACATGGAACATCAAAGAAGATATGGATAGGGGAACCAAACGATAACCACTCACACCTTATCCAAATATCGCGTGGTCATCGCTAGTCTGCTTTCCTAATTAAGTCGCCTTCCTAATTGTTATGTCCGAAACAGCACGATCAGTTCCAATAGTATGGAACCTTGTTAATAACTTGTTGGCCTATACCCGTTTCAAAGTAAAACCTCGATCATCAGTGTTTATGCTCCTAAACTTCGAATGACCTAGAGAGAGATAGATCTTATGCTAAGCTGATGTTGCCAAGCACATTTTTCCCGAAAAATGTAATTATGAACGCATAGGACGAAGACTTCTCGTTGCTTGCAGACACGGCGTTGGAATCCAGTGTGCCAGTGGAGATGGTTTTCTTCGTTATGGTGAGGAGCATGGTGTTCTTGCCATCAATATACGCCATCATCATAGCCACGTGAGACAATCAATATTCAAACCGATTGACTATTATGGTCAATCGCTGATAAAAAAATTATCTAGATGGCCGCTCATATCGCAAAACTAAGTCAGACTGTGTTACGGTTACAGCCGAATGAAATTGATGACGCGAAAAACATAACGTCCCCCAAAATTTTTTAACTGCCTCAAGTCAAAAGACTCAGGAACACTCAACATTTTTTATGTTGAAGTACTGAAATATACAGAGGACTCTAACAAACTCTGGAGCTGCCGAGTAGTGTTGACCTCAACTGAAGTCATTCCCACAGGAAACTGCCATACGATAGGATATATGACTCGGGAAAAGGCAAGCTAAGTCGCGCGCGAAACGGACCGGTTGTCTGACCACATCACGCCACGGCAGTCGCATGTAGAAGATCTCTGCAGCTCCGTATACACACTGCAAAACGGAACCAATAACATGGAATGAAATGGTTTCGAATATGGATATAACAACCCGAGTCTGCAATAATCGAAAATATCCTACTTCATAATACAATCGAGGCTCGAAAAATGATAAGAGAATAATTTGAGATAAGGATGGAAATTCCGTTAAGTCTAAAAAAACTTGTTTCATCTGATGTAGAAAGTTCCTTGAATCTAAACCTAACTATAATAGGTAATAGGCAGCTTAAGTCTAAAAAAACCCTTGCAGAGGATGATCTGTGGGTTGACTTCAAATAACAAAGCTTTAATGATTATTAAGTGGGGTGGAAGAAGCAAATAGCGTATGACAACAATGCCAATTCTTAAGAAATGGTAGGATGCATTGCGAAAACTATCGAGGAATTAAAGTGCTATATGCTTCTGGAAGGTTTTTGCCTTCCAACCGCTGAATAGATTCATGGTGTGAAAGTAGGATGCGCTATAAGCAAACTGAACTTAGGCTAGGCTAAGATATGTGCTGAGCAAATTTTCACGCTGAAAACAGCATTGAAACATCATTTCAGGTATTAAGGCTTCGTTGAATTCGCTTCTGCTTTCTTCGGTCGATGGGACAGAGCTCTGGCAAGTGCTGCAGAGAAGTTACAGTTTTCACAGCATTTTATTAGTTCATGATAGTGTGTATATAGGGGAAATGACCACTCTTGCCTAAGATATAGCCGTCAAGTAAACAGGGTAACACACGATTGCATCCATCTTTGCATGAATACAATATGCATTAAGAATAGATTGTTCTTCGTCGCTCATCACAGGAATTTATGCATGCCGCATTAATTTAATCTAATTTAATCTAATCATACAAATCTAGCAGCTAAATACTGGGAAGGATGGCTCAAAAGCGTGGAGGACCAATCAAGGCCTGGAACGGCTTGGTCAGGGGAAGACTTCGCACAGGCGACCAAGCGATAACGAGCTTAAACCAGTGGAGAAATTAAAAGCTCCAGCTATTTCCAGGATTGACATTAGATTGGGCGGTTCGGAAAACGTCTTTTCTCATCGCCAGTAGATCGAATCAAAGCAGATATGGCACGCGATATTAGGTGGAGCCATAATGACTACAGCCTCACCAAAAGTCAGCCCCAACTCCCTCGCCCTCAACCAGACTTACACTACGCCACCCAATCTCATCCTTTCTCGAAATCCCTCCACCTCACCCTTACTTCAAGCTTACTTAATTAGTAAATTAACAAGACACAGCTTGAACACTGGTTCCTACAACTACTGGCTAACAGCCAAATTTTCTCCAGAAGCGGGAAATTCAAAATATATTTTAATATACAGTATATGATAAAATGGTACGGAGGAGAATGAGTAATATTGTAAAACAATAGAGGATTCGTGATCGACGGGTCAATTTTTTCATGAGAAAAGAAATAGTCGCAAGTCGGATTGGCAGACTAAAAGAGAAATATTTCTGAAGTTTATAAAAATTAATTTCACACGAAGTATGAAAAAATATTGAAAGTAACATTCGTACAAACTAAATGCACTGACTGTTTGAACTTTTCTTGTGCATAACATGCTCGAGAGGTCGACTGGTGTGTTATTTCAGCTATAGTCAAACAGCAATGGTCTGATTCATACTTCTGAGTGGGTGCAAGTCCTCACTAAACCATACTGAAAGCGGTGCTGAGTGCCACCTGTGCTTATGCCACTAAGTGACTCTTTGGCAAGAGGGTTATACTCTCGTAATTAGTGAGACTAGCCAAATGAGAATAAGTAAATGTACAACAAGCTTTTATTCTTTTATTTCTCTCAGTGATATTTCGTTCAGTGATATTTCACGTATTATAAGATTAAGAAAAAAATATTGTTAGAATAAGATTTTGTAGAAGCCAGCTTAGGATAGGACTCTATTCAGATTACTCGGCAACGTACGCTATTGAGTAACCCAGCTCGAAAAGCAAATACATAAGCGATAGGAATATCTGTGAAAATTGCTTACAGTTTAAAGTCAGGCATTAAATTTCAGCCAAACAAGTGATTTCATTTGCCGCAAGTCTGTGGCAGGTTCACATATGTCAATTTCATTAAGGTCATATATTCTCGAACATAAATCGAATTCTATTAAAACAAATGCATTTGCAAGAAATTAAAATGTGGCAAATTCATGAGACGGAAGAGGAGTATTCGTGACAAATTCAAATCCATTAAGAACTTTTATACAATAACTAATGTATCATAACAAACAGCCTAAAGTTCATCTTTCTTGATCACTTTTAATAACTGAATTTCAAAATACAAATGAGCATTGCCAGGAATTTTTGGCTTTCTTCCTTCCTCTCCATATCCTTAAAGTTAAATTTACTGTATATATAGATGGTAAAATATCTAAATCTACTACTTTTTTATGAAATTTCTTAATGGCTAATTTCATTTCAAGGATAATTATAGACCACTTCCATTTCTCTCTCTATGTAACTTCCTTCTAGAGTGGAGCAAGCCAAAATGATAAAGTTCTGTTGGAAGAATTCAAAATCTATGGCTAATCTGAATATTTTTAATCTGAATATTTAATTATGAAGGAAGAAATAAATAGCTGATTCCTATATTTTAACGTTTTTTTCTTCGAAGTATTTTTTATAATTTTAGTCCAGCAGAGAATTTCATGCAACTTATAACCTTGTTTTGATTTTTAAAATTCACCTAATTCAGGCGGTATAACAATTTTGCGCATTTCCCCCTCACACATTCCAATAACAGCACGCTCCATTCCCGCAATGACCTGCAAAATTGTTGCGAAATACTATAATTGTTATCTAATTCGGATAGTAATCATTAAATTTTATGCAGAATTTTTTTGAAATTCATTTTCCACGATAAATACTAACATAAGGTGCGCCAAGTTTGAAAATAAGTGGTTCATTCCTTTGCATCGATGAATCTATGAAAGTGCCATCTTGCAAATGGAGTGTGTAGTGCTGGTGAATAGTATCATCTATTTCTGCCTTTTTGCACTTATCATCGTCAATTTTATGTGTTACCTAAATTATATATTTGGTTAATGCTTTCATACACTTTTTATCATGCTCTTTTGTCTAAGAATCTATTTGAAAAAGTAAAATTAGACTTACTTCAATAGATAGTCCATCATCTTCCAACCACTTTTCTCCGGGCACTAATCTAAGAATACTTTTCAATTCTACGAAATAATATAGTGGTGATCCTGGTCGAATATTACCAATATTGTGACCATCCGCAGCGTATTCTTCAGGAATAATTACACGCCGCTGTTCACCTACGCACATGTTTGACATAGCTGCATCCATTCCTCTGATAACTTCTCCACGGCCAAGGACAAATATATATCTGAAGAAAATTTGGTGAATCGAAATGGCAGTTCGATAAATTTAGAAAATCTAATTTTCAAAACTGTCATGGGATCGCGAATTTTTCTAAGTTAAACTGATTCTACACCAAATTACTTTTTGAGAACAATCAATTCGAAATTATAGAACAGGAAGAATTCTTTAGATTGATTGGCGTTTTTCCATCGAGAGAAATTTGAAAAATTTGAGAGAAATTTTGTTGTACTGAATTTTCACATCTGGTTTGGCAAGTGTAAGTAAAATCCACGACACAGTAGTTTAATGTAACCACAATAGCAAAACAAACGGATCTTTGCCGAAATTTGAGCCAATAATATTTCCATCTTTATCAGTTAATTTAAAGAATTGTTCAAGCATATCACCATTCTCGCTTTTAATCTTGCATTTACTTTCTGAAAGCTTCCATCTTCAAAAAGGAAAAATTTGTGTTCTGTTACATGATTTATGACTAATGATGGTAATTTATAATTTTTTCGCAGTATTTGTGGGAGTAAATCTGTGGATAAAAATCACTGATTGCTAAATATACTTGAAAAACCTTAGAAGAAACAGTGAGACCATTCTCGCTTTTAATCTTGCATTTACAGTGGAAATAAAGTTAATACAGTTTGAAACTTATTTTGTCAAAAAGTTGGGTATGAATGTGGATGCAATTACTAAGTTTTTGTTAGATCATTCATTCACCAATTTCTTCTCTTCATGAAATGGAATAAAATGAGTAAATGAATGAATTTAATGTAAAATTGTAAAAAATTGGAATTATTTCACCTGGTACCTTACGAATGATTTCAACTTGCACATTGTCTTCGTTTTTCCATGTTCGAATATCCTTTTCGCTTTTCGTGTAAACAAATAACAATGCTACCAAAAACCTTCTTGCACATATTCGAAACATTAATTGGCGAATACCTATGTAGATGATAAAAATTTTATTTATTCAATGGAAAGCAATACTTTTTTTAGTTCCCGCTTTTCCTAAAATTCTGTTTTAATGTGGATGAAAAATTTCGCTTTTCCTGATCGCATATTATATTTGCCAAATTTCTCTGAGAGCTTGTCTATATCTGGATTATGTATCGTATAAGTTGATGTTTGCAATTGCAGATGGTTTTTCAAATTTTTTTCTGGAACACCTATAGAATAATTTTTCAATTATTTTTTACCACAATATTGAAAAATAAATCGACTACAATTAATAAATAGGTTATTCAAAAAATGTTAAGTTATTAAGTGGTAATAAATTTGTTTAGATGATAATTAATAAATGGCAATCGAGTGCTTTCTACTGAAATTAATCTTGGGTTCGATTCCTGCCTGTTGAAAGTGAAGAAGAAAAATAATTAATGAAATTTCAAAAAACCATTGATGCAAATGATAATCACTAAATAATTGTCCATAGGTCATATCTTATATCTATATTTCTTAAAAGAAAACAGCATTCTCATAAAACAGTAATTTCATTAATAATAGAAACTATATTTATTACAATTAACACCAACAATAATTATTTTCGGTGACAAAATGAAATGAAAAATCGATCATGTGAATTTTGAAACTGGTCGTGCGAATGCTACCTTGAATCATATTCAAAACTCGTATTGTTCATTCATTTCCCTTGTTGAAGATATTTTAACATCCTTTATTGCCATTTATGCATAATCTGAAACGCATAAAACGAATCTCTATTATCAAACATTAAAAATCTTTTGTATGGTTTGCATTAAAATTTATTTTCGTGATGCAAATTTTTTCAGATAATTTTTACACGTTGCATTCCATGTAGTAAATTAGTAAATTATTAGGAGATTTTGCAGCAGATAAAATAGTTAGCCTTGCTGATCCGATTTCTTCACAATAAATATTGCGAGATATTTTCACCAATTTTGAATGAAGGTTTCCACATCCCGAAAGAAATTTTATTTTAATTTTTTATTTTTTCTTGTCATTTTAATCACAGAAGAAATTTCATCTTTTTCTGGAGAAGGTCTGGACGAGTAGTAGTATATTGCTCAGAACATTGATGAGCTCAATTTTTGCTTGTATACCATTTTCGGTGAAATATAAGGTATAAAAAAATTTTGAAAAATTTTTAAAATTTTCTTGGAATAAAAATTTTTATAAGTTTGGAAGTTTATAATAACATAAAGGTTCAAAAAGTATTAACATCATGAATTAATCCGTCTGTTAACATATTGAGTTTATTTAAGAATCTTCATTTTTAAAGTATTTCCACAATATAGCGCTAAAACTACAATTTTTGCATCCATTTTAAGGCTGGAATATTTCGTTGAACAACAAACATCAAAAATATTACTATTGTAGATAATTGTTCTCAAGAAATATTATAGAATGAAGATTTTAAAAAGTGAAATGATGATGAAACATGATGCAAGCATAATAATTTCCAACAATTGCTAGGCATTAATAATGAAAAGCCTTTTATTTAATATATTAGGGTTTTATTGCCAAAAATCGCCAAAAGTTATAAGAAATTTTTTTGTGACTGCATGCTGCTTCCAACATCACTTTTACCAGGATAGGCAACACATCAATCAGTTTCATTCAAACAAGCATCGCAGTCTTCTCCTCTTCTTTGATCAGAATAGTCATCAAAAATCAAATCCAAATGGTGCTATCCATGTTTCCATCATCATATAACTCTCTGATTAAGAAGCTAGCCAAATGAGAAATGGTGAATACCGTTGAAAAAAAGAGAAATATGCATCTTCTGAAAATGAAATGGCAATTGGAAAGAAAAAAATTTCCCATCGTTTAAAAAGCACAAAGCAATAAAAGTGACTTTTGCATTCGACGGAAATATTTCACAAAAATGATCGATATATTAACATTTGCTAAATATTTTTCAAAAGCAAACTTCTCAATAAATATAAATCGATGAACTTTGACATTTTACTTTTTTAGATTAGCTATCTAGCTATTCGACAATTCACTAACAGTACTTGTCCGAGAAATTCTTGCAATGAGACAAGAAAAATACTTGAAGAATTATAAGTTATTGTTAATTATTTGTTCTGCGATAATTGTTTCGTTTTCCAAGGGCGATTTTCAATAATCTCAATATCGAATGTCATTATTTATCATAATTAATCATTTTTGAGGATTAAGTTAACCAAAATTCTTTGAAAATTTAAATATTTATAGATATTCATTCATAAATTCGCACAATGCTGAGAAAAACATTTGTTGTGATAAATATCTTATCAGCAAATCAAATTATACAAATCATTGTCATACCTGATAAAATTATTCGTTTCTAGTTGGTATTTTCAGCTATTTTTTGCATTTTTTTAGTGCTTTTAGTTGCGATGTATTCTGGGCAAATTAGTATATATAAGCTAGGGTCTGGAATATAAAGGTATTGCAATCCATCGGTGACAAGTTTTAGAAAGTGGTCAGGTTGCAGGAATCATTGCACGATAAAATTGCAAAAGAAAAATTTATATTTCTCAAAATCTTAAAAGTTCAGTAAAAACATAGTTCTTCTGCTGAATCTCATTTTTCACAATTTCTCATATTAAAGTTAATTCAATCGAATGTTCAACAGATCCTTTAATAGAAGTTATTTTCTTCTTCTCCTGCAGTTCAGAAGGGAAAAGAGATTTTCAAGGATGTTAAAACTTTGAAATATTAGATAATGAGATTTGCCCAATGCAGGATCACTGAGTGATTGATTATTTTATCACCTCAAGGCTTCTATCTCTGGTATTCGACTGATATTGGGAACCATTTGTACCTCTAGAGGCTATCTGGGAAAAGGCCCAGTGGAATGAATCTAGGAAAGGCCCAGTGGATGTAGAATTGATGAGTGCTAACTATTTATAATTTTTCGAAGAAATGCAAAGATATGAATGGCAATTTCGCTATATCAATCCAGTTAAAAATATTGGAACATAATATCGACTAAAAATTAAAAAACTCCAGATAATCAATGGAAAGATTTTCATCATAACATTCACTTTAATATTTTTCGTTGCACATTTTGGTTATCTTACACGGATAGCGTTGTCCTAGTCAGTTCAATGATAACGATGCATCTGACAAGTTAATCAGTGAATCGTTCAATGTCATCCATCACCGAAATTTCCCAATCGATGATTTATATTCAGCTGAGCCCAATAGCCGTCAGAATGAAACTCTAATTGTTTGGTTTCAACTTTGTTTTATTTTTTTCGATTATTTTGCACTTTTTTGGCTGTTTTTAACTGAATTTTTTGCGCTAAAATTATTTTCTAATCTAGAAAATTTATAACTTTATGTTCCCGGGCTATACTGGTGATCCACCAGTACTTTTCCGAACGGTTTCCTGGCAAAAATTGTTAACCGTGTCAAGCTAGCCGAGTTAACCTTACTAGAAATGTGCGCTAATCGCTTGCTTTTTATTTAAACTTTACGATTAATTTCAACATGAATTTCTATATCAATAGAAAACTATTTCACTTCTTCAAAAAACTAGAAATTTGATATTATTGGAAAAGTTGATATTCTTTTATTTTATTTTCAAATTAAAAACCTCGACATTCATGCAAAGATTTGTATTGCCATGGAACTGAACAAATAACTTTCTTAATATTTTCTGAAATCGAGTAGAAATGTCTCGTCTTATGTTGTCATATCTAGCATAACAACCTTAAAGCTAAATAAGGATATATCTTTCGCATTTTGGTGATAAATATGCATTTTACTCGAAAGCGATACAGATCACATTTTAATATATTGGTTAAAATATATTTCGACCCAATTATGAAGGTCAAAAATTTAAAAAAATAGCGATCACTGAAGTAATAGTGTAATTTTTTCTTGTTCTGTTTCGAATTTCGATTAACAGTTTTCTTTTCTTTATCTTAATTTGATTGAATTTCTTGCACTACACTGACTCCTTCCTCGATAGTTTTCATTTATCACTGCTTAAGAAAGCATTTTGCTTTATCTTTTACTATATCACATATTGTCTATCTTATTTAAGAATTGTCTGTTTTCAATTTTTAACGGCAATCACTATTTCTTGCAAGAGACAGTATTCGAACCTATGATGCTTCCTCGAGGGCATTCGTTCCTTCGTAAAGGTTTCCACTCTTTCCTATAAAAAAATTATTTTTCACTAGCTTAGAAGTTTTTGCAGATTTTTAAAACAAAGACAGATGTTTTTCACCATTTTTGATTTAATATGATTGCAATAATTCCTTATTCGATTGTCGTATGTCAACGAAGTTTCATGTGCAATATCTTTCAAGTTCAGCATCATGTAGCGGTAACTATTCCATTCAAGTAAATTTTTTACTCTGTTGCATAAAGATATAGTACTAGAAAATTTAATTTAATTAATAATTTATGCAAATTTCCCTTTGGAATATATCCCAGCAGTCATTTACCACTAAATTGCTCTTAATATATCTTTAAGTACCATTCTTTGTGGAAAACAACTAGGAAAAAAAACAAATTTAGAAAAATGTAGAAATTGTTCAACTCCTGGCATGAAAAACGAAAAGAGTTTCGTCTTATACGCACTGATTTGAAGGCAAGGCAACATTCTGCCATCTGTA